CCTGCCTGATTTAATCTCTCGAAATCGGACCACATAACGGGTACAAGACCATTGGGTAATTGCTGTAGGTCGCCGTGTTGGTGGGCGTGGCTGGCAACGCCGCAATTGTCGCGTACGAGTTGTGTTGTCTCATGATTGGTTCCCACTGTTTAAAGGATCACAGACGGACGCTCTTCGAACGAAATGTCGGTCGAGGAAGCAGTGAACTAATAAAAACCTCTTGTCCCGACAACAATTCATGGATACGGCAACAACTCTAAAATTTCGCCGCGCGACTCACCGCGGGCGACGTGAGAGGTGTAATCTGACTATCTCCTGGAAGAATTGCCCATGTCCCAAAATTGAAGACTCTTTCCAGCCACTCTGTTACCATGCTTTCTTTTATATAACGTGTTTAAAATAATAATTTTATTTTTCGTACACATTCTGATTGGCACAAAAGTATGTGGACGCTATGGCGCGTCTTCTTCACGAGTGCATGAAAATGTAATACAAACGAATTTTGAACGGTTAATAGAAATGATCATGAATAAAAGTAAGTAGTAAGTAAGTGATTATGCACATAGCGCCAAAGAAGACACTTTGAGAACAAGCGGTGAGCAAAAAAAAGAGGAATTAAAAAGGGTGGATGATGATTGCTCCTCACGGAATACTCTCACGTCATAAAGTCCGTTGAACCGCTTGGAAGGAAGCCCAAATGTTTAGGAGCAGGCAGAGGTAGTTCGGAGGTAGTCTGAGCTACGACCTTTTTCTACCTGTCAGCTCTTTGCAGCAGGAAGATTGATGGATAGCAAGACCACTGGGTGAGCAATGTCTCGTTGAGAGGGCGCAGATAAGTAAAGAAGAGGTGCGACCCACAGATGGCACAGATGATGGTAGAAAGAGCTAGATGTGAAAAGCATGCACAACCTTCTCTACATCGACAAGGTAGAAATATTCAGAGTGCGCACAGCTGACCACCTTACCGTAAGGGACCACTACGCAACCACTCGCCCAATTTCAACGCGTTGCCTACCCTTCAAGAAAAATGCAAGCGACCGAAGAGTACACAGCGATCATGACATTGACGACGGCTGAGATGGTCATTATCTACACCTTCCTGGCTCAGCACATACCAAGAAATGCGCCACGTTAATTGCCTAGCGCGGTCGGAAAGGCTGGACGAGAGGGAAGTCTGGACAAGGTTGTGCACTTTGTGAGAAATCCTAATTTGAACTGTTCGAAGCGGTATGAGATCATCTGACAGGACGTCGAGAATTCACAGTGAGGCAACGCAAGAGCTGTACTGAAGTGGAAAGCCAAGAAAAAGAGTGTTGGAGGGGGAGGGGAAACAAGGGGGGGGTCTGATTCCATTCTGAAACCACATGAGGTACGTCTAGCTGACCATGAGTCACCTGAATGGAACACGGTACCTAATAAGAGGGGCACGGCCCGCCTTGCAAAAGGGTGCCCCGCCCATCGTCAGGAATTTCAGGCCATGTTATTTTCTGGGTTTGTTATAAGGTCAGGAAAATGAAGGCTTTTTCTGACATGGGGAAGGTCTGAGGAGGCGATTAAATAGGATAATTTATATTCCCAAGGAAAGTTCGCCCACTCTGAATACCACCTTTACACGACAAGCGTAGTGGTTTCTGAATGTCGCTTAGGCTTGGGAAAGGGCCGAGAATCCTTCCCATTCATGTTGGGGACCCTGGAGAAAGAGCGCAAATACATAGAAAGAACTGTGATATGTACAAGTAATAGGACTAGAGATGTCGATGAAAAGACTGTAGATCGGCTCGATCAGCTTCTCAGACGGACGATTGATGATATGAAGGAAGACTCGTTACAGTGTATTCGACTGGTGTAGTTTGTACGTAACCGGATGGTCCCTGAAAACAGTTTTCTTTTGGAATGGGCACAAAATGTTTTGAAATCGCTGATCGTATGGGCGTAGTCGGCCCTAACATCTGCCTTCGTCGTTAGTTCACCCTTTCTTTTACTACGATAAAAATTAAAGTGGATCAATAAGGAAATCACAATGGGAGGCCTGACACCGCCCGTACGATCAGCGTGGACTTAGCCTTCAAGAACCTACGCGAAAGGAGTGTCTTTGAAGTGTTCAAAGGGAGGAATTCATCCCGATTTCACCACCCTCCGCTCCGGCTCCTGTCGCCTCCCCCCGTTCAGTACCGGTTAGTATTCCCGTTCTACTCCCCCCACGATATCATATTAAGGAACCAAGGTCTCAGGGTTGCTGCTACGTTAGCTATGAAGTTCGTAACAGACACCCACACCCCCCCCCCCCGGCGGTTCTACGCGCACTTGAACTCCAATCCCTTTGAACGCGTCGATCTCCTCTTTTTCTCTGCACTCTCTCGTCCCCATGGCATTCTATGGACCTTGTGACTTCGCTCACTCCAGTTTTTCACCGACTGCAAGGATCCCCTTTCCCTTGAAAAATCCCGTTTCCTGGCTCGCCATACGTTTTTTTTGCACGTTTCGATGCTTTGGCAGCCGCTGCCCTCTATCCGTCTGCGTCACAGGGTTTCGTAAACAGGACCATGCACAAAAGTTCAAGATGTCACGTAACCCCCCCCACTCCTCCTCCTCCCACGCACACAGACACCCCCACACCACTCCACCACGCATACACCATAAACTTTGGCCGGGTGTATGTTGAGGATAGCAGTAGCTGTTCAATTGATTTCAGTTTTAAATATTTTGCTTTTAATCATATTCTTTGCTGAGGACATTTCTATGGGTGAATGTTGAGATCATTAAGAAATCTTCTCGGATTATTGTACCTGAGTGTAGATGACATCAGGTTGAAGTGGCCGATAGTGACCACTTGGTCCAAACTCCTCGACTCGAGTCGGCGTGACGAGCGGCACCTGAAACGTGACACTTGAGCATACTTTCAATATAACGCTCTGCCGCACGCTTAGAACTTTGCTAAATCCACTTTCTGAAGCTGCTTGATACGCGAGAAATCATGCGGTCAGCAGCACTTCTGCAACGTTAGAACCGGGAACAGGTTTGTAAATAAGCCCATCCTGTATTGTCCAGGATCTATCTAGGCATTTGACGCTTCCTCTTTTTCCCGCCCACTAACCTAGTTATTAGGTTGTCCGGAAAGTTCTCAGCGTTTTGAGTGTTTCACTTTAAACGATCATAACTTTCTTAATACTCATCGGATTCAATCGAAATAAGCACCGTTCGAATCAGCACACTTTTGCCAATGTGACACCAGTCGATAAATCCCATCAAAGAAAAAATGATCTGGGAGGTCGAAAATCACGAAAGGCTTTCTTCGCCCTGCGCTCCTGATTGCATTGAAGAATTTTTTCGGAAAGGAACTTCTGAAAATGTTTTTGAAAAGGTTGCATAGTCTGTTGTTGACGAGGTCTGGGAGAAATTGGCGGGTGGATGGGAGAACTTCAACCACAATTCGTTCAATTTATGGATAGTGATTTGTGAAACGTGTGGGCGGGCGTTGTCATGCAAAAGAATCGGACCCTTTCTGTTGACAAGTGCTGGCTGCAGCTGACGCAATTTTCGGTACATTTCGTCGATTTCTTCACAGTAGGACTCTGCTGTGATGGTTTGGCCTGGTGAAAAAAAGTTATAGTGGATCACACTAGCGATGACCATCACATCGTGAGCATTAATCTGTTTTTCCGTGAGGCATTCAGGCTTTTTGAATAATTGACCTTGGTGGTTCATCGGCATCCAACCACTGCCGGCACGTCTCCTCGATGTTGTCACACATCATCCCTTTTCATCGCACAGGCTTGACATTCGGTCCAAAACGGGTCGTTTCTGTTGCGCAAAAGCAGTGAAGAAGAAACCTCGAGACGTGCCAATTTCTGCCGGTCACTCAAATTGTGGGGCACCCACTTGTTTTTTCACCTTCCCAATGCGTTTCAGACCATCCGCAACAGTGGATTTGCCAACGCTTAGCTTTTCTGCAATCTCTCGAACTGTTTGGGATGGGTCAGCTCTTACAAACGCCTTCAAATCCTCGTCAAGTATTGGGCTTTAGGTCGACCGCCTATAGGCGGGGAATTCAAACTACAAGGGTGTAATCTCCAGAGCGAAACTTCACGAACCATTGCCGCACAGGTGCTTTCTCTTAGCGCTATTTTATGCCCCCACACGCGTGGTTTCATTTATTGAGCTGTCCTCGACTGCGATTGAGCCAATCCTAGTGAAGATACTGTACGCGTTACTCTTTGCAAATCGACGGCTTTCAAAAGTTGGGGGAAAAGGCGGTCAGTAAAGCAAGCGCGCTGTGAACGGCAATTACACCATCAGATAGCGCAAAAAATTCTCTTCAGGATGTACTACTGAGACGCAAGGGAGAATGAGTTTTTAATCAGCAATGAATGTACAAAAAATAGTAACACAAAACGCTGAGATCTTCCCGGACCTAATACTTTATATCATGTCGGTAGTATTTGGATCCAACTGCCCACCATTTTCGGTCACGAGAGTGCCTTCAAGATCTACCGTTTGCAGTCGCAAAGGGAATACAACCATAAGGAAGTAAAGGGAAAACTCATCAGATGTGTGTATTTGGAGGGTGCGGTTCATGAGATCCGCGCTGCGGCGACACACAAGAACTAATTCACTGCACATGGCAGTGGCGTTGGGCCCGCTCATGTGCAAGAACACGCCCTCCCATGTCCAACTTTGCTTTCGGCGCGCCGCACCGCTACTCGGATCTTCTGATCCTTATTGGACAAAATGAGCCAATAGCTCTATAAGTGAACTAATTTCACAAATTAGTTGGGAAAAGTTACCTGAGTTGAGTACTGCGGTCGTGACACATACTGGGTAGTGGGTTGTGCTGGTGATTCAGCAGCCATGGTGCGTTGAGGAAAGCTGCAATAAGAAGAGTTCGAGTGCAGTACTTCTCGAAAAGTGTATGCGCAATATGAACCCATCCTTTATTTACGGTGACCCACGTCCGCAGTCTAGAGCAGCGTCCCATTGCTATACACGAGAACGCAGCCATATATCGATCGGCGCCGCCCGCTACCGATTTGAGAGAGTATGGAAGAACAGGAGGGTATCAGACTGTGTGAATAGGCAACGCGTACCCTCCTATTCTCCCACAATCTCTCAGAGCAGTGGCTGCGGGCGATGACCTACTTCAGTCTATGGCTACGTTCCCGCCTGTAGCAGTGGTCGCGTTCACAATTCACACTTCGCAATGACGCGCGTCGAAGCGCGTCATTGCGAAGTGTAAACGCTGCTTTAGGAGGTCCTAAAGTCGCGAATCTCTCAGAAAAAAACTCACTCGTAACTTTGTATAGGAGTAGGTGAAGTTAACACAGCGGTGGTAGTGGGTGGCTCACGGTATGGTGCAGTGTAGGACGGCGCCTGAGGTGGCGGCCATGCTGCTGATGAATTCCGCCCTGAGTGAAGCCGCTTCTTGTCACTGTCACGCATCTGAAAATGCCTTCAATTATGTTCTGAATAGTTTGTAGCTATTTATCCTAGCGATTTGCTTTTAATTGACTTATTATTTCATTCATTTAGCTGCGCATTTATTGAATTTTTCGATTTATTTTATTTATTTTTTATTTATTCATTTCACTTCAATCTCAGCTCTCTACCAATATGGTCTGCGCCGCCAATTAAGGAGTTGGGGTATGTAGCACCTGCGAAGTGGGAAAAATAGCAAAAAATCAAGAACCAATAAACAGTGTTTCTCATAGAACGACCCCTCACTAAAGCGATGGGCGAATATGCCCCCCCCCGCTCCGCCCTCCCTCCCCCTCCCTATCGGGAGTCTCCCAATGATTTTGCCAGCGCCCGTGAAACAGGAAAAATCAGCTATTGACAAAAATTGCTTTCATGCTGATTACACTCCCCCCCCCACCCACTTCACCTATCCTGTTGACGCAGTTCGGCTTGAGGGAGATTTTGTAATTTCGCTAATTCCCAACCTCGCGCCGAGCGAAGACCTGTGAAAACTTGTTAAGCCAGGAAAAGATACCAGCCAAGGTTGTAGAGATCACTTGTCAAAAACTTGCAAATTGAGGAAAACTTTGATGAAAAGTAGCGGAAAAGAAAAATGCCACCTCCTCCCCCCAAGCCGAACCGAACCGGATTGCCCATGAAATTCCGCCCCATCCCTGAAACCCAATGCACCGTTTCCCCGCGATTCCATGAGAACAGCCGTTCCCATTCGATGTGTGTATGAGGATCAGCGCGTCACAATGGCGCCGGGAGGACATCATCGTGGCGATTTGATGGCCGCAACGAAGACGACGATGGTCGACGGGGGTTGTTTGGCTGCTATGCAAATAGTTGTGGTCCCTCATGTCACTGCCGCTCTCTCCACTATACGACCAACAGCCTTTATCACATCGATCACGCGCATTTCTATTAGCATACAGATAACATTAGGAAAGTACACCAAGCCCATCGGAAGTGCTGATACCAAAGATTTGGTAAAAATCGTTGGGGAAATCAACGCAATTAGGATTTTAGCTCTTTAAATAAAGACACTAGGGAGAAGGGGGGAGGATTCGGTGTTTTTTTATTCAATTACTTATACGATAGAGAGTGTAGCCGTGTGTGGCCTACCAAAAAGGGTTGACCAAAGCTGATCCTCTGCCCCTCTACCTTCTTTTAGCCAATTTTCACCCAATTATTCATTTAGTTATTGACCTTCTCGTGAGAGCCCGAAATGGAGCAAAGAAGTGTGATAGTAGCAGCGTCTTTCGGCGTTGCGCCATACCAACTTCGACCTGCTCTATGGTGTAGTTCGCTGCGGACGGTTGGGCGTGTCAGGCGGGATGAGTTTGGCGCGGTGCCAAACCCGTTCTCCACCAGTTGTTAAAGCGAGCAAATGATATGACTGTATCATATCGTTCGTATTACTCGTTTTCTACCACTTTTTGTCGCATGCGCGCTTCAACAAGAAGGCAGAGAACGGCTTTGACGGCGTGCACACTCATACTGCCTGACACGCCCAACCGTCCGCAGCGAACTAGAGTGTAACTCATCGCTTTCCGACAGTGCTCTGCACTCTTTCCCTCGAAAATTATGCAGGATTTAGCACAGTTCGTCTGGGAGGGGTAGGCTTCAAATGCTGCTTACGAAGCCTGTACCGATCACCTTGTGAAATCCTGTAGATTCTTGTAATCAAAGTGGGTCCCTTGTACCATTCTGCAGCTTTACAAGAGTTTACCTGTTCGTTAACATGAACTAAGAAAAGATATAAAGAAAGTGCAAAACCCCCC